AGTATCCAAAACCAGAAGAAAACAAGTGGAAACATGAGAAAACACCTCACAAAGTACATCCATTTGGAATTTATCCTAAATCACCATACACCACACACACACACACACACACACACACACACACACACACACACTTTCTTGGTCAGTTTGGGCTGCTATAACAGTGTACCATAGGCTGGGTGGCTTATATAACAAACATTTATTTCTCAAGCTTTTGGAAGCTGGCAAGTCCAAGGTTAATCAAGGCACCAGCAGACGTACCCGATGAAAACCTGTGTCCCGGTTCTTGTCCTGTGTCCTCACGGGGAAGACCATCTCTGGAAGCTCTTTTATAAGGGCGCTAATTCCATTTGTGAGGGCTCCACTCTCATGATCTAGTCGCCTCTCCAAGGCCCTATATGCTATTGCACTACATTGGGCATTAGGATTTTAACATATGAATTTGGGAGGGACACAAACATTCAGGTTGCTGTACATATTCACATTACATGCACACACAAAATGTCCCTAAACTGGAATTACCAAGGAAATAGGTTGATTAAAGAAGAATTTCTTAGGTTAAGTAAACTGTGAGATGATATAGTAACAGAATGTATGTGTGTAACAGAAATTACGTATTTTGATGCCAATATGGTCCTGATTCCTACAAATAAAAGTTTAAGAAATACAACACAGAACCAGCATTTTTCAATTTACTATATAATCACACATAAAATGGCATCAAGTTCAGGACTTTATTAATGAAAAACATTTAGTGACAGTAACATTTCATTACTAAACACACATTACCAAAGGTACAAGCAATACATGTGGGACAGAGATGCATCATCCTCTTTGTGGAGGTTTAAGATAGGTTAGCATGTTTCCACAGATTTGGACCATTATTAGATTTAGAAATTATAGTCTACTCCTCCATTCGTGGATCTTTAAGAATTCAGGCTTCAGTTTCTCATCGGACACAAAGGTTAATTAATCTGAGCCTTACATGCTAGGGGGTCTTTTCTTCAAGTGCTTTGCCTCCCTGTACACTAGCTGGGCTCTATCTATGTAGACACACGCTTCATTACTTTACCCAGGACGGTGGGCTAGCTGGGCCTCATTAGCGAAACAGTAGGCATTAAAAATTCCTTCCCTGAGCCCTGGCTGGCATAGCTCAGTGGATTGAGCGTGGGCTGCGAACCAAAGTGTCGCACGTTTGATTCCCAGTCAGGGTACATTCCTGGGTTGCAGGCCATGATCCCCAGCAACCGCACATTGATGTTTCTCTCTCTCTCTCTTTCTCCCTCCCTACCCTCTCTAAAAATAAATAAAATCTTTAAAAAAAAGCAAAATTAATTTTAAAAAATTCCTTCCCTGTAGGAAATACATTTAGGGCATATTGGAATCTTAAAAATAAGTGTTTCCAGAAAAATGCAATCTCCATTAATAATTTTATATCATCTAAGAAAATAAATGTACAGACTAGAATAATCTTTGCCTTTGAGGAAAGAATACCGGTATTTTAGTAGCTCCATTAAGTATTTTAAAGAACACTTTTTGATCTCTTTGTTATTTTTCTATAACCTCTTCTGTTTCCAAAGGTTTAGTGCCATATTTCTCTTAATTAACAAAGAAATTAGTGTCTCTAAAGATTTTTCCTTATTTCCACTTTCAGTGAATTGTCATTTGCACTTCTTTTAGGGCTAGGTACTTTGGTTCTTTATTACTTAGATAATCTTTTAATACAAAAGAGCCCACAGTTTTTATTTCTTTATTATAATATAGATTCATTATAAAATTAAGCCATATGGAAATTTTACATATTTGTTGTATGTTAATTGTATAATATGTATATTTATACTATGTTTTAAATTATATAATATGCTATATATTTATATAATATGTATATGTAGATTATATTTTATACTTAGATAATGTTTTGATAGGTAATTCTTATAGAGCTAATTAGAACCTTAAGAAAGACATTTATTAGCATTTTAACATGACTTTTCCCCTATTAGTGTCAATCAAATTGATACTATAAGAATATTCGAACCACAGGCAAATCACTTCTGAGCACTCTTAGTTGATAGCAAACATTTTATTTTGTAACTAGAAGGTCCCTCTGTTAGTTCCTGAGCCTCTAATATCGATGTTATTTAAGACCTTACTGGAATACATAGCCATTCTTTTCTTAAGAACTTCTGGAGAAAGTTGTATTGTTTCTGCAGAAGTGCATTGGATAAGTCCTGGCTGGTGTAGCTCAGTGGATTGAGCGCGGGCTGCGAACCAAAGTGTCACACGTTTGATTCCCAGTCAGGGTACATTCCTGGGTTGCAGGCCATGACCCCCAGCAACCACACATTGATGTTTCTCTCTCTCTCGCTCTATCTCCCTCCCCTCTCTAAAAATAAATAAATAAAATCTTAAAAAAAAAGAAGTGCATTGGAGACTCACACAACTAAAGACCATGCATTCCTGGCAACAGAAGCAAATGGACATTGATAAAAGGATAAATAATTGGTAAGACTAACAACTGTACTTGAGCTGTGAGGATATGTAACTGCAAAATCAACTACACACACACAAAAAATTGTCATTACGAGACTCTTTGATTCACTTAGTCTTTTAGTAAATATTTATGAATAAATTGAGTGAATAAATGAATGCAAAAAATGCATGTAATGTGCTAGGCACCGCACACCACACATCCCAGATTTACAGCAAACAAGAAAATCATGGTTCTTGCCTTGTGAGACTTACAATCTAGCAGAGGAGAAAAACATAAAACATAGGATCACATAAATAAACATCTAATTAAATTTTAACGAAAATATCGCTGATGAGTTGGTCTGATTATCATCCCAGTCTTTTTCCTCCCTCTCCCTGTCTCCATATGAAGACTAAAACAACCAGGAAATATTTTTTCATGTGTAAAAGGTAGAAATAATTTCTTCTCTGGAAACCTACCTCCCGTGATATGAGCCCATTTCCTCCTTCCCTAGGTGGTAACAAAAAGTAGTTGTGTTGGACCAACTCCAGCTTTCACATTCAGTTAGGTGCCATGGCTTATTGATTTTATTATGCACATGTATCTTATATTCATCTACTCTTCTCCATTTCCATGTCCAAAAGCATGGCACTAGCTCTCCGGTCCTCTTGACCGCATTATGCGAATAGACTCCCAGAATCACAAACAGTACAGGAGAATATCAAAGTGGGAAAAGGCCCTGGAGATCATTCTTCTGGAGGAAACTGAGGCTCAGAAAGGCACAGGTCTCACCCAGGACTCCACAGTTCAGAGTAGCCACATGCATGCCACCTGTTTTTCTTTAGAGCAGCCATGGACGTCACTGACGTTTCCCTGCTCACAGTCATCCCCACCCCCTTTTCCCTTCTTAAAAAATCCCCCTTCCCATAATAGGAGCCAAAAACGACAAATACTTGCTTTCCTCGGCATGGCCAGATTATGGTCACTGAGATGTAAAGGGAAGTCTGCTGCCTGGTTTCTGAGAAACAGTTTGCTTTTGACAAAAAGAGAAATCAAGTAGAGCCACTCCTCACCCCCAGCCACTTTCTTCCTGTCTTTGGAGCTGGAGAACAGCAGGCTGAGGACAGAAAGCCAACATCTGGGATAGAGAATCAGAAGAAAGGAAAGCCCTTGACACCCTTATCTATGAGCTAACCTTGGGACCAGCTTCTTGTAGACCTCTTATTACAAGAGATTGTTTGAAATCTTCCCTATGTATAACTTTATGTCACATATTCTGCTATTTGCCTAGTGCATGTTGAATGGACTACTGCCTTGTTTATTTCTTTACCTCCCATCTGCCCCACTAAGCTCCACAAGAGCAACTGATGGGTCTTATGTTTTTCATTTTCTATTCTGCCAGTTCCTAGAACAGAATCTGGCACACAGTCAGCCCTTGAAAAATATTTGTTGAATAAATAAGTGCCTCAAAATTGTGATTGGCTCTCTACTTCTATAAAATCAAGTCCAAAGGATTTATCTGGCATTCAAAGCCCTTCGTGATCTAGCCCCAATTTATCTTTCCAGCCTTGTCTTCCTCCACACATGCCACAGCTTAGGAAACCTGGGCTATTTCCTGTCCTCCCAAACACTCCCTGTGCTTTACTGGCTGACAAGGTTCCTCCCACAGAATATGCTCCTCTTCCTCCACCCATTATTTCATTCGTCAAGCTCCAGCTTTTCTCCCATAGAACTTTCTCTCCTGCTTCCCTGGTACAAATATTTTTCTACAGACTCTTTTCTTTTGTGCCATTTATCACATTTAAACATTTGTGATTACTGTGTACTCATCTCTATTAGATTGTAAACTCTCCTTGAGGATAGGAACGTCACCCTCCCAAGAAATAAATACAATGCTTTGCCCCAGTGAGGACCTAGTAAATTTTTCTTTGTAAGTAGTGAAATAAATAACATTAAACTGAGCCCATTTGAAAAATAATTTGGACCCAGGCACCAGTGCTGACTCTCTCTCAAAAAAAAAAAAAAAAGCCAAGGTCTGAATGAATTGCAGGAGGGGAAAGCAAGGAGGGAGAGGGACTTGTTGGAAGTGTCAGGAGCAAATACGAGTGCTCTTTCTCTTGCCTATGATGGCAAAGTCCTTAATGGAAGATGATCCCAATCAATAGAGTCAGGCAGCTCATTTATAAAATGGGATCAAGCTGAAGTAGTGGTCTTCCTCTGCAAAGTCATGGGAAAGGGGAAAAGGCTGCCACACAAGAATAACCAGGACTCCACAAGTCTATCTGCTGGTGTTCATAAACACGTTCCCCGTCAACAAACCACAGGAGAGCTCTAGAGAGCAGCCTGCTTGAGCCTGGATGCTGAGGAGTGACAGTGGGGCTAGTGCTGCTGCTGTATTTTGGCTGCTGCTGCCGCTGCTGCCGCGGCCGCTGCTGCTGCTGCCGCCGCCACTGCCACTGAGCAGATACCGCAGCAAGGGGTCTGACCGCGCCGAGTGCTCTGAGAGCCTGAGCCTGGGTAGGAACGAGACGTTGAGAGAGTGAGAGTTGGGAGGTGGGCAGGACTCATCAAGGAGCTGCAAACCAAAACAAGAAATCTAGGCAGCAGAAGGAAAGAAAGGGTGAGCTTGAGCCAAGATATCTGGCCAAGTGGAACTGGAGGAAATGTCATCATTGGTAAAGGAGGACTTGGAGAAGAAACTGTTTAAGCCGCTCTCGCAGAATCTGTGTGAGTTTATCGAAATAGAGTTCTCGGTCCAGGACAGATATTACCTCTGTGTGTCAGGTAATATGTTCTCTCTGTTATCATTTCTGAATGTAAATAATCCCAAGTGGCTTGGGAGGTAGAGGAACATGTTTTGCATTTATTTTCCTATACTATAATAGCATGTGTATCTTCTCATGATGGAACTGAACTATGCCAAGTTTCAGAATTTGGATTCTGTAGAATTCTTAACTGCTAAGATGGAAGATAGAAAGAATATTGTATTAAGAATATTTTGGCTAGTTGTTCAAAAATGAAACTGGGTATGTATTTTCCTTTATTTGATTATTTTGTCTCTGATCTTTTATGTAATTCACTTGCATAGCATGCGGGTTTACTGTGGAAGAGCTCATTTTTTAAAATTCAACAGAGAACTCTGTACATTTTTAAATACATTGGAAAATACATTGAAAAAACCATTCCATTTCCAACTAGTCCGGACAACTAGGGTTCTCCTTTTGCATGCTAGGAAAGAATAAACATCTTAGATTTTCTTCTGAGAGCTCATTTTGAATAGAGAATGATCTTTTAAAAATTCTTTCTCTTATAGGAAGTATGTTCACAGGAGTAATACTTTAGTGGGAGAACTTAGTGGATGAAGATGGAACTTTAATAGAACTTTCTCTAACTTATTTAATGAAAATATTTTCCCTCATGGTTTTAAAATGTATGAAAATTGTCCAGAGGTAAAAATAGGCTTTTGCATTTAATTATGATTTTCCTAACCAGTAATTTTTGTGCTGAATTTATACAGAAATACTTGTACAACTATTGAATTTAATATACAGTATTCCATTTTTTTCCATGCATGCCTTTTAATGTTGTCGAGGAGTTTAGGAGGAAAGAGCTTAGAAACTCTAAGTGTTCACTGTGGACTTTCCTTTATAAGACACACAACTCATCATTTTTGGAAAACAACTTGTTAAAATCCCGTTCCTAGAAATTGGCTTAGAAGGACTTTCTAAAGATGTCAAGAGGGAGCACTGTAAGAGAAGTAAAACATTTTATAAAAAGTGTTAAGAATTCTTTAAAATTCTATCAATCCTAATAAGTATAATATTTACTCAATAATAAAAACAGTGGTGTATATACATCTAGAATTTTATCTACCATATTTTGCTATGTATAAATACCAAGTGTGGGGACTTGGCATTTCAGCAAAGTAAAAAGTCTGACTGGCCCAGGGAAAGAATTCAAAGTATGGGAAAAAGTCAAATGAAACAATTTTAGAAACTATATTGTGTCCTAACCATCAAATCTTAAATTATTTTGACTTAATACATTAGAGAAGATGACTATTCCAACATTAATATTTAATAATTTTATACCTATTGAGATCCTACTTTATAAAGCTAATTACACATTATGTAACATTAGAATACAAGTATTTTTTAAGAAAAACTTATAAGAAATGAAATAATCAGGATAATATATATATCTAATTTACCAAATATACCTTAATGCTTCCCTCCAACTATATAATTAACTAAATTTGTTCTATCTAAAAGGATAAAAAGTCTTCTAGAATTAAATATTTGAATATGGATGTGATTTTTTTTTCTCCCCAGTATCCTTGAGTTCTAAGAAAGACACTGTGAGCTGGGATCACCTGCTGTCTTTCTTCATAAATGACAGGTGTCTTTTTAAGTAGGATTGGAAGGTCAAGGGGTTGTCATTGTTAACATGTGTGAGGGCAACTCCTTGAAGGTTCCATTTTTTCATCTGGGAAATGGCCAAGTAAAGTAAGTGATCACTATCATTAGTAAAATTCAATGATTCTGTCACGTAAGAAGCAAGGGAAAACAAGGCCCTCTCAGATGTGAGGAAGAGGAGACAATATTGTGATATTCCTGATAAAAGTTAGGATTGTAAGTCATATTAGTTCATCACTAAGTTTCACGACTCTCGTCTATATCATGTCCATCAATTTGAAAGCACTTTCCCCAAATGTAATATCAACATCTCTTTATGGCTATATCAAATACATTTAGACAGAACAGTAATTTAAGATAAAATCAATGTGCAGCTGGACAGTCCTAAGTCTTTGACCATGCTTTACTGAGAAAATTTCCATCAACGTGAATCGAACAGGTCGTATCACAATTGTTTAGACAGGTAACTCCAGATTTGAATGTTGGTCACCTCCGGGGAGTAGACAGACACATAGTTACGATTTTCTTTTATATCCTACAACCCAGCAGTTCCAAATTTTTAAGAATCATATATCTGGAGTAGTCAAATCCCATCATGCATTTTTCAAATTAAAGAAGATGTGTTTAAGTTAAACTTTCTATTTATCTGATCAGAGTCTGTCACTTGCAGGAGTTTCACAACCAGATGATTGTGATTTGCTGTTATTTTTGACACATTACCTGGTCAATGTCAAAAACCAGATGTTACAGACTCAATCACCCTCTCTGTAGTTTGCTAGGACTTACCATGGGGGTTTCTGGGCATCTTAGTACCCTCCCACCTCAGGGTTTGCACGATCTTTTCTCCTCAGGGTTAGCTTCCCCTCGGCTAGAACATTATTATGCCTGGCTGTTAAAAGCAGCATCTACTTATGAAGGAGGGAGGAGCTCTATTATGTGTGGGTACTTGAAAAGGGGTGAGTCATTCGTGCAACGATGAGAGTGTAATTGAATTAAAGAAATTCTAAAGGACTTGAAATGGCACATGAAACATTAGCCATAATTAAATGGGAAGTAGCAGGGCATGGAGGAATGCATGTTGGAAGGTTTGGAATCAGAAAGAACGGGCGTGAAACCTGACTCTGCTTTGCCTGCCTGCCAGCTGTGAAATTTGGGGCAAAATAATTACCTTCTGTGGACTCAGTACTGACGTCTCTGAAATGGCAATAGTCACACCTGCAACACACATGGTTCTCTCTTGTTAAGTCTTAAGTCACAAACGTGATAAATTATGTTCCAAATAAATAAAATAAAAGGTAGGGTTATTGTTTTAATATACAGAGCAATATATTTACTGTGAAAACATATGCTGAAATATATTTGTATCAAGATTATACTTTTAGATAAATATTTGTAATAAAAGTAAAATATACAGCTATGTATAAAAGTATATATATTTATTATATATTAAATTATGTAAATTATGTATTTTTAAATAACAATTATATACATGTTCATATACATCATTTTAAGTATTCTCATATATTTAGAAAGAGATTTTCTACTCATAGAATTAATTTGCAAATAAATGGCATATGTTAGAATTATGAAAGCAATATACATAAATTTTCCATACATATTGCATTTTGATGCCAGAACTTCTCTTTGAACCAGAGAATCTAACGATTTTGTAAAATCATTTACAATAAAAATGTTAACAGTAAGAGTATTTAAAAAAGAAATTAATAGGTTAATAAGAAACAAAACGCTAGAGACTGGGTGGCTTATAAACAACAAATATTTATTTCTCACAGTTCTGAAGGCTGGGAAGTCCAAGGTCATGGCATTGGCAGATTCCATGTCTGGTGAGGCCTCTCGTCCTCTTCCACAGTAGTCTTATCCTTATGACCTTGCATGGCAGAGGGGCAAGGGATCTCTCTGAGGTCTTTTTATAAGCACACGAATCCCATTTATGAAGACCCTGCCTCCAAGAGGCCCCACCTCATAATACGGTCACCTTGGGGTTAGGATTTCAACATATGAATTTGACTAGGGAACACAAACATTCAATCTATGGTACCCAGTGTAGCCTCCAAATTGATTTTATAAAAATATTTCTAGCCCTGGCTGGTTTGCTCAGTTGGTTGGAGTGTCCTCCCATGCACCAAAAGTTGTGGGTTCTATTCTGGTGGGGGAACGTAACGTACCTGGGTTGCAATTCAATCCCAGTTCCCCCAGGAGCAGATGGATCTCTCTCTCTCTCTCTCTCTCTATCTCTCTCTCTCTCTCTCTCTCTCTCTCTCTCTCTCTCTAATAAACATAACCTTGAGTGAAGATTAAAAAACATTTCCAGGAAAAATATTATATGAAAATTATTTTTTGATGAAATCAATAATAGCACTCTCAGTGACCTCAGACATCATCAATACACTGAAACATCTTCACTGAAGCTTCTTGTCATTGATAACTCACAGTAATTTTTCAATATTGTTTAATTTCAGTGATGAAAAACACTAGGGCCGTAAAATAACAGTCGTTTGTTTATTTAAAGCGTTGCTGCGCAGCTTCCTCAGGAGCTACTTCTTCTTCTGTTCTGCCAAATTACATTTGTTCAATTGGCTGGTCTCCTTTCCATTTAGCCTCATAAATAATAGTGACTATTTTACCATTGTAAAAGATACAGTTATTAATGACAATGTTTATTTTGAAATTAAGAGTAAAAATAAATAGTGGACATGACTTAAGATTGTAACTTTGAAAATGCTAACTAAAATATTGAAACTGGTGCAGTCTCATTCTGAATTTCCCTGGGCCTATAGATATTACTCACTAAACAATAATTATTCAGTGTCATCTCTGATGTTACTGAAACCAACTGTCTAACATTTTGACTGTATAAACACATTTCTGTTTTAAGACGATGTGATAAGTTTCCACTTTCCCACTCCATTAATGTGGATATGGCCATTTAATTTTGGCTGGCAGCACAGCTGAAGTGTGGGAATTAGGGATTGGGGCCAGTCCAGCCTGAGGAGACTTCTCTGACTCTTGGCTAAAGATAATCTCTGAGCCTCATTGGCTCCAGAGGAGACGATTTTGCCAAATTAAGGGTGCTGGACTGTCTCTGTGCTGCATCATTGTACCAAAAGATTAACGCTTACAGCATGCTCTAACTTTCTTAGTTAATGTTAGTGGACAAAGACCACTAATGTAAGAAAACTCGATAGATCCTACTTTCTTAACATCTCTGTCTCCATTCCCTCCCTCCAACCCATCCTTTACAGAATGGAAAAAACAAAAAACAACAAAAAGCCTTTCCAAAACGTAAAGCTTCTCCTATCCATTCACTTAAAGTCCTTTAGGAACAGCCCTCCTCTCAAATCCTCCCACACACACAGCTCTCAGGATGACATTTAAAGTCCTTCGCCTAGCATTCCAGACTACCTTGCCCCTTCCCATCCTCCTTTGTACCACCCACTCACCTTCACACTTCAAGCCAACAATACCAAATGCTGTGTGACTCAAAAGCGTCAAGTATTTCATGCTTCTGTACACACGCTGCTCCAGAATTCCCTTTACCCCTTTCTTCATTCTAACACCCTGCCCTTGACAACTCAGAAGACCCCCTTCAAAAGGCTCTCCCCAACTCCCAGATGCATGAAGATGTCCCTTCTCTGTGTTCCTGATCACCCTGTCCTTGCCACATTCACAGCACTGTGATCATGTGGGGGGGGGGGGGTCTTTTAAACATAATTTTTCTTTCTATTTTGAAATAATTCCAAACTTACTAAAGAATTGCAACAATAATAGTACAAATAACTTTTTTCCCAAAACAGTTGAGAGTAAATTGCCAACACAATGCCCCAGTGCCCACACTGAAACCTTAGATTGTAATTGCTACAGTCATTGACACTCTCCTATATAATCACAACACAACCATCACAATGAGGAAATTAACACTGATTCATTACTATCAACCAATCGACTAGTCCTATTCAAGCTGCTTAAAAAGTTTATATTAGTTTCAGGTATACTCCATAGGCCTATACATTCATATAATTTATAAAGTGATGAGATCATGTGTTTTCTTCATGAAGCCCCACTCTCTGTAATCTTGGTGAGAGCAGGAATGAATGGTGCCTTGTGGGAATTCTTTATTCCAATGCTTAGCACAGGGCTTTATTCAAAAGGGCTCTCAAACATTTATCAAATCAATGAGTCAGTGGGTCTATAATCAATCAGCTGGTTATCATAATATATAGATGAGGCAGTGGAATTTGCTTCAAATTACATTTCCATACAATATCCTATTATTTCTCCCCATTCCCATCCTCTCCCAGCCCCTAAATAGTGAGGCAGCTAAGCAGAACAAGAATACCATCCTTTGGGTCAGAGGTAGAGCCTTTGTCTGGACAGACACAACTGCCATTTCAGTCCACAAACGAACCTTTTTTAGTGCTGGAGATATGTGCATAGGCAGAAACCCATCAACTTTTGCACACAGTTTCTGAACTCTGAGCCATTATTTTGATCTTTGGTTAAGACCTTCCTTCTGTTTTAGGTCCCCTCCGGGACATGGCTCTCAATCACTCCCTTAGTCTCCAAATATGCAATCCCTCCTCTTCCAAACTCTTAGAGTTTGAGATCTAAATCATAGCCTTTAGTCTCTTCTTATTTCTTTACTGAGTCCTACCTAACCCAGGAACTGGCGGACAGTATCCACCCAGTGGTAGTGCGTGAAGGAATCCTCTGCAAGCTGTCTTCCGCCTTTACTGTTCTAGAGAAACTGCCCACAGGGAAGAAATCAATGATCTCCCCCAAGTCAGATTCAGTGCCTGGACTAACCTCTTGCTTTACCCAGCAAAGTGGCTTCAGAGGATTGTCTTCAAATCTTCAAAATTCTTGCCATCTTGATATTCATAGGATTGCACTGTTTCTTTCCCGATAGCCCGTTCTCAGACTGCTCTGCTGGCAAGTTTCTCTTCTCCGCTCTGTCTCACCTTTTTCCTCTGCTCTTTCCCCTACTTACCTAGTCTTGCAAACCTATCCACACAGAAAAATCCCAGTCCATATCTCCATTCCTTAAACTATAAACTTCCATCTCTTTCCCTTCATCCAGCTCACCCTCCTGACTTTACTGTTTTGGTTTCCATGTCGTGTTATTTCTACCGAGTGTCATCAGTGCCTCAGGGATTTGCCACTTCTATGTCCATAGCCCACGTCCTATGCTTAGATTACAACACTAGTCCCTTATACAAAATGAAACACTTTAACAGTTATTATAAACCAAGGACTACCCTCCACATCACTTACCTGTCACTGTGATTGCACTGTGATAGAATGCTTTGTACAGTCTTAACTAGGAAGGCATGCCAAAGTAGCATTTTCCAGAACAACATGAGTGTCTTCCCTAAAGACAGAGTCCAGTTTCATTCTTAGAACACAGAACCAGCTTACACCTAAGTGACAGCATCCATCTTAAAAGAAAGTTTAAGATATTTGATTCCAACTGCCAGCTCTCTACTCCTATACATCTTTATAATATATATTTTATGAAACTCATGTCTGTTAGTTTTGTCTCCTCAACAAAACCATACATTTCTAGAGGATAAGGACCATGTCTAACACCTGTACACATTGTGACATCTATAATAGTTCTAGCCATTGTGGCATCTATAATAGTTCTACCGGGCTCATAGCAGATACTCAATAAATACTCCTTTATTAACTCATCAACAATTGTCTATTCAGGAGTTCTAACATTAAATGTGGATTCTTCTGATGTTTTCATGTGAGGCCAAAGACAATGATTTTAAGGCCAGGAAATCATTTCCTAATTTTGTTCACATAAAATAAGCAATGATCTTCCCACACTTTTTAAAGAACAGTACTGGAACTTTTTGTCTTGAGGACATATTTCGAATACTAGAATTTTAGAGACACTCTAGAGAGGATTAAAAATCTCAAACAATACCAAAGAGGTGTATCTGTGATGCAAGCTTTTCTGCATCAAACATCTCATGGTAACTTTAAAAGAATGCCTATTCATGCTCACTCTCAAACACTGTGTTGCTGTGTGAGCAAAACTATTTATTTCCCTGACCCCACTTACTTACATTGCCATACATTAAAATTCCAAATTGTTCTGGTAGACACTTTGGCACTGACTATGTGCTAACATTAAATATCTTATTTTCTGCCCCGAGTTGATCCCCGTTCCCCACCACAAAGCATAGCTGAAAGCACATAGCTCAATGTTCTGTCTGAAAGACATTACTGTGGCTGTGTGTAACCACAACTGTAGCAAAAATCAACACATTGAGCAGATCTGGAGGCATACTTGTGAAGGTTCAGATACATCAGGGTTCATAAAGGGGATGCAGATATAAGGCAGGTTCAAGCTCATTACATGAAAAAGGGTTACATAAATACTGAAAAGTATGATGCTGAATAATTTATCATCTTCTAGGAGTTTATGTAAACTGTTTTTCTGTCCTACAGTGACCAAAAATGAAGAAGTAAAAATAATTATGGTGAAACACTACAGAATAGGCTTAGATGAAAAATATGAAGTAACAAAGAAGTGGTCTTTGAATGATCTGAAGAAGATTGATGGAAAAGAAGCAGATACTGTAAGTGTTACACTTTGTAAGGGAGAGGTGGGATCAATAAGCTGGAGATCTTTAGGCTCAATATCCTACTTCATATATTCTTGGCATGTAATTAAATGTTAAAATGACACAGTGTTCTTTTTTATAAAGATTTTATTTATTTATTTTTAGAGAGAAGGGAAGGGAGAGAGAAAGAGAGGGAAAGAAACATCAATGTGTGGTTGCCTCTCATGTGTCCCCTACTAGGGACTGGCCTGCAACCCAGGCATGTACCCTGAGTGGGAATTGAACCTGCGACTCTTTGCTTCACAGGCCTGTGCTCAATCCACTGAGCTACGCCAGCTAGGGTGTGATGTAGTGTTCTTAAGTGGTAAAGTTTAGTCAACTGGGATGATGTATGGATTGTTTGTTATTGTTGTTGTTCAGTCTTTATCAGTTTAAATTTGAATTTTGTCTATTAAATTTAAAAGAGTCTTTCCCAAGGTTTCTTAACAGATTAAATACACTCTCCCCGTCAATCTGGACACTTTAAATACATGGCATTTCCACCGCCACTCTCTCTCCACCCCAAATTCCTCCATAAGATTCGGGAATTCCTTCCCTCATTTTCTTCAAATTTTACTATCAGCCACTTGATCCTCCAGAAGGATCAATAATTCTTGGAAATCCTACAACCTTAAAATTAAGAGGTGGGGGGAAAGGATGTCTACTCCAGTCTCTCCACGTGACCGATGTCAGGTGGTTTTCCCAGTCTCCCTGGTCTCTTCTCCTGTTGGAGAGCTCATTCCCAGGTGACACAGTCCATTCTATTTTTGCAATGCCATGCTTTACTTTTTATTTTTTAATTTTATTAAGTTTGTTGAGGTGACATTGGTTAATAGGGTGATATAGGTTTCAGCCATACTTTCTTTTTTTTAATTCTCTACCTATGTTTAACCAAAATATCCACCCATCAGTCCTACTTGGGCATTTGTAGCAATTCAGAACAACTCCAATCCTTCTTTCGTATAGCAGCCTTTGCAATACTTGAGGACGATTATACTGTCCCCTCAAGTTTCCTCTTTTCTAGGTTAAATGTTCCCCTTTTGTTCTTTGAATAACTTTCATACAAAGATGGCATAAGATGATAGATATGACGGGACAACATAAACACCGAGAGGCAGTAGCGATGGTGCTACTGTTTTACATGCCATTGCTTCAACACCCTTTACTACACTATTTTCTCTTCTGGAATCCTCCTGTTTTCCCAGAATTACATGCAATATGTAATTCTTAGGGTGACTTAGGGTGACTAATTTGTATTTCCCTTGATCTGGATTCCTTATTTCTATTAAACACTTACCTGAAACCTCCCGTCTTTGTGTATAAATTGCCATTTAATCTCACCTGCCATACCCTCTACTTACATGGAATAAAACCTAAATAAAGGTCCTTAGTGATCTGACTTCTTTACCACTGGTCAACCCCACCTTAAACTTTACACATTCTCTGTGCTTAACTACTGACTCTTGAGGCTTAGAATGCCCAGTCACCTCTATCTCTCGCCCCATTCCCAGACTCTCCATTGGGTAAAGTCTTACTTATGTCTCCCTCCCCCAAAGCCCCCTTAAATTGTGGATATAAAGGTATTATAGCCATAATACCACAAACTGCAAGTGTTGGCTTTTTCTGACTCTTCTCGGGATGGAAAGCTTCTAAAAAAAAAAAACCAACCTGGGACCACAATTATTCATCTTTTACTGTAGCCTTCAACCTGACATATATTAGATACTCAATAAATATTTGTATTATTGTTGGAAGTAGAATTCAAACTCGTTTATTCTTAATCCTATTAAGTACTATATTCTCAATCTGGCTTATTCTTCCACCTGTCAACTCTTCTAATAGTATGATTTTTAAAATAGTCACTATAATGTGATGCAGATTTAACAACCATAACATTTAGGACTTCATTCAAGTCAATAATAAAAACAATGAAGCTGGCAGGGGAAGTGTCTACCTCTAGGTAATTGGTAGGATATCATTACTACTACTATTACTACTAACAGTAGTATTGCTACCTGCCACCATGTCACACTTAGTAAACCCTTACCAGGTGCCAGGAACCACAGGAAACTTTTTCTACACATAATTTTACATAATCATCACAAAATCCACATGAGTTAAATTCTATTATTATTCCCGATTTACAGATAAGGAAAACAAGACTTCAAGACATTAACTGACTTGCCCAAGGTCACAAAGCTATTAAATGGTAGAGCTGGACTTTACCCAGAAATATATTAATTTGCCTTCTTTAGATTGCTTGTTTAACATCTCTGCAAATTCACATATATTCATTCATTCATTCATTCATTCATTCACTGAGAACTCAAGCTTTGCCAGGCCCTGAGGCTACAATGGAGAATTAGACACACATAAGTCCTTAATTCTGCATTACTTACATAATTATTTAGTCTCAACACCTAAATTTTGTCCCTAAGATCTTTACCAAAATCAATATATGCTATCTGCTATTTGGTTGACTTATCACCTAAGAATCCTTTTTTAAAATTTGGTGTGTTTGGCGTGATACTCAGTAAAAGCATGCAGGGTTTCATTGCTTTCTTTTCTAATGACTCATATAACATTTTTCTGATAATACATTCTACATAACTGTTAGGAAATAATTAGGAAGCATTTCCTAACATTTATTGCATATCAATATGCTGGAATATTAGACACACAATGCACCATGTTTCCAAAAGAATACATGAGAACACAATTGTTCACCATTTAGTAAACTTTTAAAAAGTCAGACAAGTACAAAACTTTTCTATAATATTCTCATTTTGCATATTTAATCTGTCCTATTATTAAAACTGAAATCTGAACTTAAATTTTAATACAAAAATATACAGAGGTATGTGTATGTATATGTATATATGAAATAAACCAGTACTTTAACAATAATTATCTCTGCATGATAAGATTACACATTTTTAGATTATTTTCTTTATACTTTTATGTACTTACCAAATTTTCTTTGCCACATTAAATGTTATCAGAAATCAGTGTCAAGTTCGCTTACCTGTAGTTTCAGGAATTATCATCCCCACCTTTTTTTTTTTTTACCATTCTTCATTTTTTGTGAAGTTCTCAAATATTAGTGCTGTTATAAGTATTTCTGCAAGTTCGTCCAGTGTCTAGAGGTGCGTTCAGCAAACCCGTCAGCTCACAGTCATTGTGAACAAATAGCCCCGCTCTGCTTCTCCCCTCACCTCTCTGGTCTGGCCTACAACAGTGTTGATTCTTCTCTTTCCTCTTGGAAGACTATTATCTTTGATAGTGGGCTAGATACCCCCAAAACTGAATATTTCTACTTTTTTCATCATTTAGGACCTAAAATATTAGATTACCAGAAGAAAACCTATAATATCCAAAGAACAGTTCTTTTAAAGATTTCTTTTCTATGGATGAAGTAAAAATATCCCAGTTGTTCCTGGAATTTCACTTTCACATCTCCTTTCCCTTTGAATTGAATCCTCAGGAGTCAGCAATCTCATATATATATATATAATTGAGAATACATTTATATGTGTGTGTGTGTGTGTATTTTTCTCAATAGCAGTAATATAGTTTTAAATAGAGCAATTCTGAGTCAGAAAGTTGTCAACTTTAAAAAGGAATGGAATTGAAATTGAAGTCAAATTATAAAGGAGACATCAAAATGTCTGGGGATTTGGAGATTGACATGGTACAATGGGAGAGAAAATGATGCAGCAAGAAAATGGGGTTGGGTTGACTGAGATCTTGGTTCTGTCCTGGCTCTGCCAATAACTTCATGTGTAGCCTGGGCTTCACCTCTCTGGAAACTATTACCCCAACGATAAACAAGAGATCACTGAATGATGTCTGAGATCCCCTTTTAGCTCTAGGAGTCTATCAAGACAGACAGAGGGAGGGGAAAGGGTGAGAGAGAGGAAGGGAGGGATATAGAGGAGGAAAGGAGGAAGGAATTCTATTTTTAAAATGTGGTGAATTTGGCACCAAGCAGAAAAGAAGAAATATTTCCCCCCTCTGGAAGTCTATAAGTAGGTTTATTCTCTTCTTTTATCCCTACCCACCCTCTCAAATTCATAAAGGAAGAAGGAAGGAAGGAAGGCGGGAAGGAAGGAAGGAAGGAAGGAAGGAAGGAAGGAAGGAAGGAAGGAAGGAAAGAAGGAAAGAAGGAACTTGTATTCTATGTGCATGCCTGCTCAGGCTTTAATTATTAGGCTAAAGGAAACTATCAATCCTTTGTTAGTACCTCAATAGGATGAAGGGTATTTTCTACATGATGAAGACAAATGTTTCAATGAGGGAACTATATATGGAGTGTGATTAGCATTTAGTGACAGATGGGTATGATTTCCTTTTATTGAGATGCTCTGCACAAGTGCCTTTCAAGCTGCAATTATGATAGCTAGGAAAAATGTTACAAGGTGCAACTAGGGGAACACTGCACTGAAAATCACATCACCCATATACATTCTTTTCTCTTTTTTAATCCTCACCTGAGCTTATTGATGACAGAGAGAGAGAGAGAAACACTGATGTGAGAGAGAGACATTGATCAGTTGCCTCTTTCATGTGCCCCAACTGGAGACCAAACCCGCAATACAAGCATGTGACCCAACCAAAAGAAGCGAACCTGTGACCTCTCAGTTTGTGGGACAATGCAACCAACTGAGCCACAGCAACCAGGCGTTCTTTTTAAAAGTGTTGTTTTGTTTTTAAATTTTGTTAATAATATAAAGCAAGGTGGCAGTAACACTAGCATTTGGAGGCAGATTTGGGAAAGGGGACTATCATTTTTTTTAGCCTCCATATTACACAGTTTATATGATGAATTTCACGGTAAACTTCATAGCAACCCTATCAAAAAAAGGAGAAAAGGCAGGGTCAGATCACATAAATACTTATTCCATGGTTATATCAGAGATTCAAAATAGTTGTTTAACCTCAAAACCCATATTCTTTTTCTGGCCTGGTGCAAGAGTTTTCCTATTTGAAAAAGAAATCGCAAACACCTCCATTGTTTGTGCATAATGCTTACACACCACCTGCTAACAAATTATGCACACTCCCACTTGGCCTCTGCCTCCGTGTCAGTTACAGGGCAATGTTTACCTCCACTTCTCTTTTCACAGAGCTACTCAGGTCAGCTCAAAACACACTCATTGGGAACCTAGCAGTTGCCATGAACACGAAGTAAATAACTCAAACCCTCTGCCCTCAAAGAGAGTTAGGATTTGGCAGGGAATGAATGTGAAAGCATTTTGTAAACTGAAAAGCACTTTTTAAGTGCAAGGCATTGTTGCTACTGTTATTAGTAACAGTACCAAAGATTATTTTAACATGCAGGGCTTAGATCAGGGTTGATGTCTTCTTTTCCTCAAAACACCTATACTGGAAGTATAACAAAAGCCAAGAGCAGTCCAATAAGAGGCAGTCATTAATAATTTTTCAGTTTCAGTCCGATGATTTAATGGTCCTTGTTATTAACTTCAAAGGTAACTCCTTGCTGTTAACTTGATGTGTATGCAGTATGCCAAAAGCTAATTAGCCTTCCTGTATTCCCCGCTTCTGCCTTTGAAGTAGCACAGGACCAAATTCCCAGTAGAAAAAAGGAGAAGTCTATTCTCCTCTCCTTTACCCATCTTCTCAAATTACTATCCTGGGAAGAGTTGATAATTGCATATTCCGAGACATGTTTTATTTGCATAGTTGAAAAATTACAGATCCTATAAAAAAATCTTTATTGTTCTTTTTAGAAGCAATGTGTTTGAAGCAGGTAGCTTTTGAAAGTTCATGTGTAGGTTTTAGAAATATGTTTGGTACTAGTACTTTATAATCAAAAAGCACATACAAAAGAATCTGAGAGAATCCAGGAAATCCAGTTACTTTTCTGACTACAAATAAAATCATGTCTCTCTTTCTCCTCTAGGACAACCCGTTTTTTGATCTGCACTTCAAGAAAGTGTACCGTTTGGAAGCATATAGTTGTGCTTCTAAATATGCCTTTGCTCGAACTATAAATAAGCTGAATCACGCATATCTTAAGAAGGACTTACAGATCGTGAACTTTGACTCGACTTATATCAACGATGATTCTGTTTGGTCCTCCAGCAACAAGGACTGCTTGGTTCTCATGAGAATATGCTTTTATGCCTTCAATCTGCTGTGCCTGTCCCTGTGTCCCCTGCCACTCTGAAGATGTATTCCCTTTTTTCCACCAGTATTCTATAAAGTGGTTCCCTAAGTAAATATTGGTAGTCATGATTTTGGTTTTTTTCCCTTCACTAGTGACTGTTATTTATATGAAAATAAAGTGATGCTTTGTGAATTACAGTAAAATATGTTTTAATGAAATCATTCGACATTTTGGCACTTTTGCCTATGTGTTCCTTGGTAACTTTGAAAGGAATTGAATGGTTTTGCATAAATTGGTATTCTCAACTACTATCTTAAGAGGCCTAAAATATATGAAAAGACAGCCCATGTTCAGAGATAGGAAGACAATATTGGTAAGATGTCAGCACGACCCAAAGCCACCGGTAGTTTCATTGCAATCCCCATCAAAATTCCAACGGCTTTTTCTTTTTTGCAGAAATGGAAAAGCCAATCCTCACATTCATTTGAATTCCAAAGGTCCCTGAATAGCCAAACGATGTTGAAAAAGAGGTACAAAGTTGAAGGACTCACATCTCCAATTTCAAAACTTACTGCAAATCTACAGTAATCAGAAGAGTGTGGCACTGGCATAAGGATAGACATATAAAGCAATGGAATAGAACTGAGAGTTCAGAAATAAAACTATCATCTGTGGTCAACTGATTTTTGACAAGGGTGCCAATCTTATGCAAAGAGGAGAGCATAATCCTTTCCACAATGGCTCTGGTACAACTAGATATCCATGTGCAGAAGAATACCACTGGACCTCTACCTTACAGCATACACAAAAAATCAACTCAAATGGACTAAAAACTTGAACAGAAAATCTGAAACTATAAAAATCCTAGAAGATTTTGCCTGTGGCAATTACTATGTTGATATTTTTAATGGTGATTTTCTATTACTGTCATTTTCTTTTATTATTTGAGAAAGTATCACGTAACTGATAAGGGGCTAACATCCAAAACACATAAAGAATTTATACAACTCAATAGCAGAAAAACAAATAATCCAATTAAAAATGGGCAGAAGATCTGAAGAGACATCTTTCCAAAGAAGACCTACAGGTGGACAACAGGCACATGAAAAAATACTCAACATCATTAATCATCAGGGAAGTGCAAATCAAAACAATGATGAAATACTACCTTGCATTTGTTAAAATGGCTATTACCAAAAAGATAAGAGATAACAATTTTTGGCAAAGACATGGAGAAAAGGGATCCCTTGTACACTGATAGTGGGAATGTAAATTGGTGCAGCTAATGTGGAAAACACAGAGGTTCTTCAAAAAATTAAATATGGAACTGCCATATGATCCAGCAATTCCATTGCTGGGTATTTAACCAAAGAAAACAAAAACAGTAACTTGAAAAGATGTATGCACCCCATGTTCATTGCAGCATTATTTCCAATAGCCAAAATGTGGAGACAACCTAAGTGTCCTTCAATGGATGAACAGCGAAATTATAGTATATATAATATTCCATTTTTCATGTATATGCCACTTAAATAGCAGAAAGTAAGCAGTCAGATTATATATAATGAAATATTATTTGGCCATAAAAAGGAATGAAATCTATTCATTTGAAACAATATAGTTGGACCTTAAGGGCATTATTCTAAGGGAAGTCAGTCAGATAGAGAAAGAGAAATATGATCTGTCTTATATGTGGATTCTAAAAAACAAACAAACAAAAAACAAAGCTCATAGACACAGAGAACAGATTGGTGGTTGCCACAGGGTAAAGGAGGTAAAAAGAAAACTAGTAATAAAGTAAATAATAAAATAAAATGAGATCAGCTTTCTGAGCCAGGCAAAGGGAAGGAAAACAAGAAGAAAAATGTTTAAAGTGTATGTATTTTGTATGATTTCCTGCCTTCATTGACTTTTTTCAATTATATGGCCTGAGCCCCATTCTGGATAAAAGGATTTATCCTGGACATACCTCAAAAAGATACAGTGAGAATTAAACGCTAAGAGCCAAGGCAGATGCTAGGCACATGTGAGTCCTATTGAGAGCGTGTTCACAGTGAGACAGGAAACAGCAGCTCCAAGACTGACCTCAAAGAGCACACAATAAATATTAGTTCTTAAAATTAGTAGGTGTAATAGTAGTCTTATTCCGTCACAAATGAGTGGAATATCTGTCTAGTCACTAAAAGAAAAAGAGTGTACATATCATGAAAGATATAAAAAAGCTGAGTGTATTCATTTGCTAGGGCTGCCAATCAACTACCCACAAACTGAGAGGCTTAAGAAGCAAAAATGGATTGTGCCATAGTTCTGGAGCCTGGAAGTCCCAGACCAAGATCTCAGCAACACTGGTTCTGTGAGGGCTGTGAGGGAAGAATCTGTTCCAGGCACCTCCCCTTGGCTTGTAGACGGCCGTCTTCTCCCGGTGTCTTCACATCATCATCCTTCTGCGTATGCATCTCCTGTTTCTAGGAGGACAAGAGTCACACTGAATTAGAGAGCCTACTGTCCTAACTTCATTTTAACTTGATTACCTCTATGAAGACCCTAACTACAAATAAGGTCACATTCTGCAATAGTGGGGGTTAGGACTTCAAAATATGAATTTTGGGGAGCACATGTCAACCCATAACACTGAAGAACAAGTTGAAGTGGCTTAGGGGGACATAACAATTAAATTTAATGCGGGAGCCTGGATTGGCCCCTGAAACAGAAAAAAGGACATTGGTGCAATCCCTCAGGAAAAAATCTGAGTAAGATCCATAATTTAGCTAGTGATATTACACTAAGGTTAATTTTCTCATGTTAACCATTGTACCATGGGGATGAAAGATGTTTACACCAGGGGAAGCTGGGCCAGGAGGGGGTGGGAGCTCTCTGTGCTGTCTTTGCAATATCTCTGTGAGACTAATTTTTCAAAATAAAAAATTTTAAATACCTGTTTGAGTTGATTTTTTTGAAGTAGCTAAAAGATGAGGAAGACTATCCTATACCTACAACATCCGAATGGGGACAAATGAGTTAGTTGTATCTCAGTCCCTGAAAGCAAGTCACTTAGCTATTTAGGTGTGTTGAGAAGGAAAATGTCCTCTAGTTGAGGACAACAAGTAAAAACATCTTTTTTTTTTGTCAAAGCAGGCAGTTCAAATGATAGTAGGTTAGAAAAATCTTATACATCTTGTAATTTTGCACTGTCCTCTCCAACTAATAAAAACCTATCTGTATAGCTCACGTGTTTACTTCTCAGGTAAAAAGTTCAGATCGTGGTTAACAAAAGTGACTATTTTCTATATTGGACTGATGTTTTCAGAATAAGATTGAAGATAGTATCTCATTCACCTTTGAATTATACACAGGAAGCATACGAGATATGTGTATTTATTTTCTTGACATGTAATCCCAATAAAGGAAATCTGATTTTTTAGGTGCTTACCGACAACCAGATCATATTTGCTTATTTTACATTTCTCCTCTCTTCCCTTTGCCTTCTCTGTGTTCTCTTCTTCCTCATTCTTTCAAGTTTAATTCCTCTGCAAGCCAAAATGCCTTTATTTCTCTTTACTCTTTCCTTATATATATTTTTCTTTTACTCCTCTCTTACACAAACTGCTGCAAGCCATTTGAAATTCCTGAGGCCCAACTGCCAAGACTGACAGAGTAACCCATACAGGCATTCAGGGTGTACCACCCAAGAGGACCACATCTAAAGGAGAAAAACTTCTTTTTTCTTAAAGATTTTATTTATTATTTACTTTTAGAGAGGGGAGAAGGAGAGAGAAAGAAAGGAGAGAAACATCAATGTGTGAGAGATACATCAATCGGTTGCCTCTCACATGCCCTCAACCAAGCACCTGGCCTGCAACCCAAGCATATGCCTGGCTGGGAATCGAATCGGCGACTTTTCGATTCATAGGCCAGCACTCAATCCACTGAGCCACACCAGCCAGAGTGGAGAATAATTTCTTTATAGACATAAATAAATTTAGATAACAATTTACAGGTGAAATTTCTAATTTCAGGCCGAGTCGCTGATTTCTGGGATACTGGGGAACAGTTCCCTCCCTCATAACCCTCACCTGCATTCATGGAGAATACTGTGAACATTCTCACTCCAGCAATTGTCCACGCTCCCTCTTAATGCTATTCTGAGCATGTCTTTATATCATCTGGCTGTTCTCACAATAATGCCACATAACAAACAACAGTGAGTCTGAGTGGTTTGAAAAACAAGTATTTAGCTCTTGCTCATGCATCGTTAGGTTGACTAGAATATGGTTGAACTAGGCTGAGACTGGCTGTGCTGGGCTCCAAGCTTCCAGTTGAGTTCAGGTTTGCTTCACATCTCTCTTCCTCCTTGGATCAGCAATTATCCAGAACTTTTCCTTCTTATGATCAAAGACAGGAACACAAAGGGCAAGCCCAACTGTGAAAGCACATTTCAAACTTCTCACATCATGTCTGCTAGCAACCCATTGGTCCAAGCAAGTCACTAGGCCAAATTCAAGGTGAAAAGGCAAGGAATATACTCTATGCACCACAAGGTCATGTCAAGAATGTGAATGTATAATAAAAATATAGAGGAGCAATAGAAACGGATAACTCAACCTAACAAACTCCTCAGGTTGCTTCTCTTGCTCACCTGCTACTCTCAGAAGCCTGAGCCATGCTGACTTCGTCTCCTCACCTACATGGGGGTTGTGAGGATGGCTGGTAGCAAAGAATGCACTCGTCAGGCTTGGGTTCTGGAAATCCCCCTTAGGGAGAGTTATTCAGGTTGTACAATAATATATTACCTAAATTTTTATTTTCTTTTTTAAGTAAAAAAGAAAATAAAAAGGTATGCTTCATTCAAATTCATACCAAGGCATTGCATGGGCAAGGAAGTAGTAGCCCACTGGGTAGGTGTGTCCAATGCTCATCAGTTCTCACTCCAAATTCCTTAAAGTCATGATGAAAGCTGGTTTGTCTTTGGTTTCCTCTTGGCAGGTATTACAGTGCCTGCTCAAGTAGATATTTTATAAATATAAAAGTGAGCTTTTTTTGGAAGACTAAATTTATATTTT